AAGTAGAGGTCGATCCGACGGTCCAAACTCCAAGCGATCTGAAGATATTATTGAGACGCGCTCAGCAGCTTTCGGCGCCCGGGTTGACTCGTTTCCTGCAGCAATTCTCGGTCGTCGATGTCGGCTGTCGAACGATCGGACGCTCCGAAAAAAGTCGCGGCTTGCGAGGTCCCGTTCCCATTCGCGCCGAAACGCAAACTCGCTCAGATGGATTTCGTTTTCGCCTCGGTCGATCTGAAGCGTCGAATCTCCATCGGACGGATGTCGTTGGTCGCAGCTGTGCAGATTTCCGCGCAACTCTGAGTGTCGTGGCGAGTTGCGAACTTCTCCGAATGTCGCAGGGAGTGTTCCACCGGAACTGACGTGCTCGCCAGGTCAAGGCCGTTTGCCCCCGCGAAAAATCGGCTGCGTCGATGCATTTCATCGAACGGTTGGCGAGGCATCTCGCCTTCGAAGGGGACCCCAGGTGCAACTGCGAGAGGTAGTCGAAACTTAAATGAAAGTGCATTGTACTTACAGGAATTGAAGTTTCGACTCCATCCTCCGCGTGCTCCTGGGGGCCCAGCGGTTAAGCGTTGAGCTGAAACCTTGGGTCTGATTACCAAGTGTCACAGGAGCGAATGTCCCGAGGAAAGGTTTGCTCAATGTTGTACTATCAATCAGTACAAGGTGCTTTTATACTTCCAGAATACATCAGGTAACCAGGTTTATCCTATCCAAAGGGAATAGACCCTTCTAGAAATTGAATCACCCTGCGTATAGCCACGCGAGGCTATTGGCTTTAAGGGATTACGGCAGGATTACGCTAGATATAGCGCGCCAGTACATCCCGAGCCTGGTCGGTGATATAATCATAATAATAGGATAAACCAAAGGATAATGGAAAAGGAGGAATAGGAAACCAAATGAGATGAGATAAAGACCAAATGAATGAGGATAAAAAGAGGAATGAAATAGAAAGGAAATATGGAAAGGGGAAAATAGTGTAACGGGGTCGTACTCTCACACGCACTGTCCCGTGTGTCTTCCTCGGTTTCCACCTCGACTCGTCTGACTAGCACTTCTACCACCCGTCGTCTCACCGTTTTTTTCACTCTCGCGACGTCACATTTGATGAGTCCGTCTCATTCTACCACCGCTTTCCCCACCGTGGTCCCCTGGTTACTCCCCCCCTGTTCCTGGTTCCCCCTCCCCCGGTCGCCTATGCTCCTCTCCCTCCCCGCCCTGCCCCGTCTGGTATGTCTTATGTCACCCCCCTCCCGACGGTTGTCCCGGTCGAGGAGTCTGCTGACTCTAGTGGCCCTGCGACGCAGTACTCGCCGCCCGCCCCTCCCCCGGTGTCTCCTCCTCCATCGTCGCAGCAGCCGTCATTGCAGCCGCCGTCGCCGCAGCCGTCGTCGCAGCCGCTACAGCAGCAGTTCGTCGACTTTGGGGTTGCTGGTGTTGAGGGGGGTGCTCGTCCTGGGGTTCCTATCGTGGCTTGACCGCCAACTGCTCCACGGCCAACTCTGGAACATCCCACTCCAGCACCCCCAGAAACAGGAACCTCTCCACCACTGGTACCACCACTGGTATCACGACTACTCCGGTGGGGCCAACCCCCATACCCCGTGAGATGGCAATGGCGACTGCGGCGGCAGTGACGACAGCGGCGGCGGCGGCGGCTTGCGGCGGCAACAGGCTAGCGGCGACAGCGGCAGCTGTAGCGACTTGAGAGTCAAAGGCGACTGCAGCGGCCCCCGCCCTCTCGGCGGCATGGCCAACCTCCGCGGCGATGGGGTCCCCCACGAGTCAGGCATCGGCTGTGGCGAGGAGGAGGGGATGTAGGGGAAGGAGGGGGGGGGGGGGGGGCGAGTCTTCAGCGACGCACCATGGATGGCGCGGCGCTTACTTGCGGGATGACGGAACGGCGGCTCGGACGCATGGCGGCACGGCGAAGCTGCCACGGCACCTAGATATGGCCGCCACGGCTAGACGTCGACGCCACGACGACGCGATGCCATGGCAGAGCGTCGAGACGGCTGCGGCACGACGCGGCCAGCGGCCCGACGACGTCATCCACAGTTGTCACCCAGTTCTCAACATCCGTCTTGCCATGGATGAATTTTGGGAGCACAGTGGGGAGCGAGCCAAAAGGCGTTGCCATGGGCTGGACATGCTGCTGAGGTGCTGCAGTTGAAGGAGATGCAACAGGCGGCGGGTTGGATTGGGTGCCCGATGGGCCAGCAGTAGCGGGTGAGTGTTGGTAGATAGGACCCCGCCGAATATCCCGGTACTGGTTCTGCAGGTGGGCAAGAGCAGGTTGCATCGGGGCGATTGTAGATTGCAGCTAGGCAGTTGTAGTCAGCAGTTGGGTGATAGCAGCTTGCAGCTGGTCGCACGTTTTCTCCAGGGCCTGGATTTGATTGCCCCTGTTATGTAGCAGACGCTTGTGATCCCGTACCTCTCCATATGCCATATTGAGATCGGCTTGCAGCCTAGTCGTGTCGGTTTTTTGTGTCGCCAAAGCAATATTGAGGGAGTTGATGTGTCCCTTCTGTTGATTGATTATAAGCTGCTGCTCCGAGACTTGTGCCTGGAGTTTAGCCACATCATCGGAGAGCGACCATTCCTCGATGCCATCATCCTCCCCCTCTGCTCCATCAATCCCTTCTGCTTCTCCATGCTCTTCATTTCCCTCATTCTCCAAATTTAGGTCCACCAATTCAATATCAGCCATGGCCTCATCTTGCTGTTGGTTATTACTAGCAGCAAGGTTGGCTCCCTCAGGAGTCACATTAGGCTCCTCCCTTTCCAAGTTCTCCAAAACTTGACTTGAAGTCATGGTAAAACAAGGAAGATATTTCAACAGATCTGAAATGTTCTGTAAAATCTCTTAAGAAATCTGTTCAAGTCCCAATCACTGCAGTGAGAGGGCAAGACAATCTCTATAAAGAGATCTCTTAACAGAATAACTTAATAAGAGAAATTACAAGAAATACAATCTATTGCCCGATCCCTAGCACCTCAATTCTAGGGCAAGATCTAAACTAGATCTTGCAACAGATCGCAGATCTGAGCCACACTCCTCAAGGGAGTCTTCCACCAACAAGGTGGGTAAGAGAGAAAATGTTCTCTCTTCAAATCTTGAATGGTGGAGATAAGAGAAGAGGTTGTGCAGGAAAATTGTCTTGAGAAGTGGAAGAATTGATAAAGATCTTGAAGAAGCTCTTCAAAATGGCATGGAGAAGCTTGAGATATCTTGAAACATTCACTCCAATGTCCTGGATTGAAGTCCAATCACCCCTCTAAAAAAGAAAAAGAAAAAAAAGATCAAGAAATATCCCACAAGGCTTAAGATTAACGTAGCTCTGAATACCAAATGTAACAACCCTTGCCCTTATATCATGGGCAACGAAGTCCAAACCCAACATCCAAGATCCTAGGATATAAAATGGAGTACAAAATCAACTAACGATCCCCTAGCGTAGTATTTAGGAGGAACCTCCTCTAAGAGATAGCTTAAGCTTGAGGAAGGCCCTTGAAGAAAAGTGCTTGAGACTCTGGTTGGGTAGGGCTTCCCCTAGGAGATCACACTAGAAGGCACTGGTGTAGGGAAGCTTGTGAGGAGAGCTCATGACTTAGAGAAAAATCCCATTTCAAGATTGATTTCTTGGAGTGGGAAGTTGAGAATGAGCTTCTCAGGTCAGACCCCTTCCAATGACTCCCAGCAGCTGCTCAACCTCCTCCATGGCTCCAAGGAGGTGAGCTAGCTTATGTGGAAAAAGGGTTGGATTTCCAACCAATGAGAGGTTTACAGCAATATATTCAGATTAGCATATAGTGTACGGTATAAGAATATTCGAGTTGAGTTGGCACTGCCAACCAACTCCCTGGTTCTGATTGGTCGCAAATCCAACCATCGCGTGAGTAGGGAATTTCGCCAACTCAATTTGTACAACTAAAATCTGATTGGTCCCAAGTATCGACCAATCCCAATCCTCCCCTCCCAACCCTTCCTTCCCATTTCGCGCTACCTATCATAGGTATCCGATTTGTGGAAAGCGGTTGGGAAGGTCGTTTCTAGGCCCGCGTACTGTGCAGAGGCCATGCGTTACAGCGCGCCTGATGCGAAACTCGTGGTTGGCTATTCATCTGTGCACAATCTAGCTTACCTGGTCCAGTTGGTAGTGGTTGGTCCACCCTGCTTTACACTCGGCGCGTCGCGTTTCCACCGGTAAATAGAGTCTCGAAGCCCCCTAGGACAGCCAATCGCGAGTAATTGCTGGTAGTCGCCCCCGGCGAGCGGGCCACCGAACGCGTGTCAACAATCGAATGCCGCCGTGCGCGGCAGTCGTGGTTCATTCAGACACGTCCACTATGATTCCCGCAACCTGGCGAGAGTCAGCAATGGATGCCATGCCATTGACTTGCTCGCTCGTGCCATAGCTGCAGTGTCCAATAACACCCTGTCGCTCGCCCGAGCCGCTCCGCCTCCTAGCGCGGCGCTGCTGTGGTCCGATCCGAGGGGGCTAGTAGTAAACCGATGTATGATGAACGAGAGACATTGCCGCAGAGTATAGCCCCTCTTCAGCGGTTCGGCTACGCAGCACCGGTTGAGGTTCAACCGCCGCAACTCAGACCCGTGCCTACACACCTGCTAGTATTCGGTACTAGTATGACAACCCCTGCTAGCACAATTCAGAAGTACTAGAAGTTCATAGTAGTAGTACGAGGTACGGTTAAGTACATCTGTCCTGCACTGGCGGCATGGCTGTCTCAGGGATCTCGGCAGCTCTCTTCAAGTCCTGGACCTCTCTTGGCGCGGCGGCGCCATGTCAGTCGCAATATCATCATTCCAACGCTCAGGAAAATTCTGCCGCCAGTAGTAGTGTTCGCGGTCAGGCGAATGCGGCCCCCTTCCTCACTGAAACCCTCACCGCGGGAAATCCAGACTCGGGGGGAAGAACCACAGTGAGATGGCTACTCGAAGGGTTTTTGCCACTGGCAGTGAGAGGCACGGTTGGCGGCATGCATGATACCACTTTGGCAAGCACTACTACTACTACTACTACTACTACTACTACTACTACTACTACTACTACTACTACTACTACTACTACTACTACTACTACTACTACTACTACTACTACTACTACTACTACTACTACTACTACTACTACTACTATACTACTACTACTACTACTACTACTACTACTACTACTACTACTACTACTACTACTACTACTACTACTACTACTACTACTACTACTACTACTACTACTACTACTACTACTACTACTACTACTACTACTACTACTACTACTACTACTACTATTACTACTACTACTACTAATACTACTACTACTACTACTACTACTACTACTACTACTACTACTACTACTACTACTACTACTACTACTACTACTATTACTACTACTACTACTACTACTACTACTACTACTACTACTACTACTACTACTACTACTACTACTACTACTACTACTACTACTACTACTACTACTACTACTACTACTACTACTACTACTGCTGCTATTTCTACTAGTAATACAAGCGCCGTGATGGCAGCAAAAGCCGTTGGTGCTTCAAACGGAGCGCTACAATCGGAGCTCCTGACTTGCTGTTGCATCGCCATCCTTGGCTTGCTAGCCGCGTCTCTCGCGCAGTTCGTCGCCAAAATCTTCCTCTAACACCTCCTCCTGTTCCTAGAGTGCTTCCCCTCCCTTGGCATGCGCGGGATCATCTCTGGGGTGCCCTTCCGCCTCACCCAGTTCACCCTCCAAAACTTTTTTGCGGTGTTCGTCTCGCACCTCCCGCTCTTCCTCCTTGTGGGGTTCCTCCGCGCAGGGATCGTTGCGTGCGCAGAGCTAGTGTTCCCCCCGCGCGTGCTGCCCACGTGGGTGCTGGCATGGGGCGTGATGGCGGCGCATGACGCGTGGTTCTTCTGGACACACTCGCTCATGCACGTGAATAAGGAGCTCTACCGCGCGCTGCTCGCCATGCACCACCACACCACCACTGACCTCGACGTCCAGGTAGGAGGCAGAATTACGAGAGAAAAGAGAGACGACTAGGAAGAGAAAGAGTTACAAGAAGGGGGGGTTATCCACTCTACATTAGGATCCAGCAATGTAACATACCTACCAAGCCTAAACAAATATATATATATATACATATATATATAATTTGACATAGAGCTTCGTCTGAAAAATTAGATAGCGCAGATTATTTCGTCTGAGACTTTCCTCCCTGTCCCCCTCCCCTAACGACCAAGCATTTCCAGCCAAGTCCCCGACTGGCAGATGCATTACTCTCACGCCCCTCGAAACCCAGTTTTTTCCGGCTAGGTCCCCCACACCAGAGATACTCCTCCACAGTCCCCTCGCAACAATAAAAATTTCGGCCAAGTCCCCCACACCATAGACATTCCGCAACACACCACACGCAGCCCCACAAATTTTGGCAAAGTCCCTTACTGCAGGATACATTCCTCTAAACACCCCTCGAAGCCCAGTCAACACAGCCAGATCATAAAGTTTTTGACTGAAGACCATCCCATAACCTCCCCCCGGTATTTACGAACACTAGAAAGTATGTTACGATTGTATTTTGGGAGAATACAAAAAACAATCAGGCATGGCATAAAATTAGCCTGTTTCTGCTATCAACGTGAGAATGAATGACTAGAATGAGAGATACAAAGAGCTTTTGTGCTAAGGGTTGTCCTCTCTAAGAGTACGCACCGGTCTAGCCTATAAGACACATATATATTTATATATATATATATATATGTTTTCACACACCCCCTAGGCTAGATGAGGGGCAGTGCCTGATAACAGACACACAGCTCAAGGTGGCACTACTAGTCCAACCTCTGGTACAAGGGCCACAAGGCCAGTCAAGACATAATCAAGGTCCTAGCAAGTGTGAAGCGACAAGAACTAGACCAAGCTGTACACAGTGTCGCTGATGATTTTTAGACGCAAGCGCCTTCGTAAAGATATCAGCTGTGTTGGCATCCGAGGGTAAGTGTACCACGCGGGCTTGGCGGTGCTGCTGTAGCTCGCGCAGGAGGAAGTACCACAGCTGGATGTGCTTTGCTCTACCCTCCAGTCGAGGCTCTTGACACAAGAGAATTATGGGCTTATTGTAAGTGCACAGAACCGGGGCAGAGCTAGGCCGCTCACCTAAGTCAGTGAGCAAGAAAGTCAACCAGCGGAGCTCCTGTGCCGCCATGGCACAAGCGTAGATCTCAGCCTCACAACTAGACTTGGCAACAGACGACGAGCGGGTGGACCGCCACGAGCCTGCACCAAGGCTAAAGCAGTAGCCCAGGGAAGACCTGAGTGTCTAAGTGTCGTCTGCCCAAGAAGCGTATGTATGCCCTGTCAGGACCACTGGTCTACGTCCTCCTACCACTAGCCCCATGCCCGATGTACTTGCTAGATACCGCAAAATCCTCTTAGCGGCCGACTAGTACTGTGGCCAATGTTTGCTTGTGGCCACAAAGCGAGCCAAGATGCTGAGAGGGTATGCGAGATTTGGACGAGGGCAAGTTATCAGGTATATGAGGCAATCCACCAGCTCTGCGTAAGGACCACTAGGCTCTAAAGAATCCTCAGGGACTAGAGCAGAGAGCCTGTAATCTACTCGTAGAGGTGTGGGCTGTGCAGAGGAGAACTGAAGACCGAACCTCTGAAGGACCTGGCGCACCAAGTGTGACTGTGTGAGAGAGATGGTGCGCGCTGCTCTGTCCCAGAGATATACAGGCCAAGGTAATGGCGCAACTCTCCTAGGTCAGTGCAGGTGTGTCTCCTCAGCAACCCAGCCTTCATGGAAGCCAGTGCGTCTCTGTCTGTAGAAGCAAAGACCAGGTCGTCTACGTAGACTAGGATGTGGGGTCTGGCCAACACGAATGAAGAGCGAAGGGTCTGTAGACGACAGGAAGAACTGCAAGTCTGAAAACATAGCACGCAGCGTGTCGTGCCACTCACGGGGCGCCTGCTACAGGCCATATACTGGGCGCCGGAGAAGCCACTCGGTCTTAGTGGCGAAGGTGCTGGTGAAGGCTGGCGGGCGGCACAGGTAGACCTGCTCATGCAGACTGCCTTGAAGAAATGCTATAAAGAAGTCAAGAGAGTGCAGCTCGTAGTCACGCTGTACTGCTACATTTAATAGCGCCCGAAGAGTAGTGATCTTCGGGGTCGGGACGAAGGTCTGAAAGAAGTCAACACCCTCGCACTGACTGAAGCCTCTAGCAACGTAGTGCGCCATGAACACCGGCGGCTCTCCAAGAGCGAGCTCCATGTTGAAGAGCCATCGGCCATCGACTAGGTTCACCCCGGGTGGGGGAACTGATTCGATGTACTATAGGTGCCAGTGGATCTCCAAGATGCCATCTCCGTGTCCATGGCAGCTATCCACTGAGAGGCCCAGACTCTCGAGGTCGCTTTCACGTAAATGCGAGGGGTCGGGATGTCAAAGGCGTTTGGATCACCCTTAGGGACTAGCAGCATGGAGAAGAGGTGAGGCGCGGCCTCGGACAGGAAAGCAAGCTCGTGCTGTCGGTCCTCCAGGAAGTCACTGCCAAGGGCAGGAGCACCCCCGACGGACGGAGGGCGGACAGGGTCAGAGAGTAGAGCGGTGGCGTAGTCAAGGCGGTGGGTAGAGGTGAAGTCAGCGACGACAGCGACAAGCGTGTCAAGTCTCAAGACAGGAACAAACGGTTCGGTAACAAGGGAGGTAAGGACCTGAAGAACAAGAGGACTAGCGGCACGAAGGAAGTCAGACAGAGGAGGTGGAGTGACAACGGAGGAGGAGACAAGAGGAGGGGAGGACGAGACGTGTGGGAATGAAGTAACATAGGGTGAGAGCGCTGAACAGGAGAGACAGGACGAGCACAGGAGGGACAGCGAGACAGGACATGAGACGGACGCGTCGGGTTAGGAGACAGAGGAGGAGAAACAGGAGGGGAACGAGGGGGAAAACGAGCTGGAGACAAGTCCGGTGGAGGAAATACAAGGCCAGAGACATGCAGGGGAGGCTGCGGTGGGGGAGGTGCAGGACACCGGACACCGGACACCGGCTGCGACTGCTGCTGCTGTGCCACACCGACACCAGAACCTCGAGCTACACCATGGCTTCCTCCAGAATGCTCCAATCCAGCACCCCCAGAACAAGAACCCTCTCCAGCATCGGTACCACCCCCAGGACCGTCGTGACAAGCCACAACAAGAACCCCAGGGGTAGCCCCCCAGAACAAGCACCCCCAGAACGAGAACCCTCTCCAGCACCGGTGCCACCCCCGAGACCGCCAGGACAAGCCACGACATTAACCCTAGGACTAGCAGCCTCCTCAGCGCCAGCACCCTCCTCAACGCCAGCACCCCCGGAACTCTCAGACCCCTGCGGGGAGACACCGGGGCAGAGACAAGCGGCAAAACCGAAGCCGCGGGGCCCCCAGAGTCAGCTGACTCCTCCACCGGGACCACCTATGGGAGGGGAGTGACGTGAGACACACTAGACAAGGCAGGACAGGGAGGGAGAGGAGCACGGGCTATAGGGGCAGTGGGAACCAGAAACAAGGGCGGAGAATCCTCGAGGCCTCAGCAGGGAAAGCGGCGGTAGAAGGAGACAGACTCGTCAAAAGTGACGTCACGCGAGTGAAAGAAGAGGTGAGAATGCTCGGGGTAAAAGTGCCAGTCTGACGCGTCAAGGGGGAAACCAAGGAAGACATAGGGAACAGTGCGGGAGTGAGCTTGCCCGTGTCAGAGGCACGAACGTGAGCTAGGCAGCCCCAGACGTGGAACGCAGACGCGTCACCAGGGAACCCGGTCCAGAGAAGGGTCGGCAAAACTTGTGGCCGCTGGGAGTATGGCCACATGTTAAGCTGGTGAGCGGCGTAGCGAATAGCGAATGGCCACATGTTAAGCGGGTGCACCGGCATGGATCATGGAGGTACGAGCCACCTCCATGACCAAACTGATGCGACACTCAGCGACCACATTCTGCTGTAGGTAGTCCACTAGGGTGTACGACTGGGTGATGCCCTCCGCACGAGAGAGCTGGCCAAGCCGACTGGAGGCATTCTCGCCGTTACGGTCGGAGGGGAGACGAAGCACTGGGAGGCCGCGGTGGACTCGCGCAACTACGACCCATGAGATAAGAAAGTCAAGCACGTCGGCATTCCGCTCCAGGGGAAACACCGTGGTGTAGCGCATATAGTCATTGACAAGCACTAGAAAGTACCGCTCTTGACGCGGCCCAGGGACGGGGGGTGGGCCCCAAACGTCCAAGTGGAGGGTCAGGAGTGGCGTAGTGGTAGGGGGAAACGAGGAGGAGTGAGGAGCATGGCGCAACTGGCAGTCGACGCAAGGCGTATACGGCGGCACAGGCAAGGGAGGGAGGACACGGAGCGACGCATTGAGACCGAAGACAAGACCGTGATGGGACATGTGACGCAGACGCGGGAGTGCAGGGTGACCTAGTCGGTAGTGCTACAGTAGCGACGGGTGAGTGAGCGACCGACACGAGCAAGCCGCAGCAACCTAGGTCACCGCAGACACCTGGGGGGACGCCCTCACTGAAGGGAATGCAGTGTCAAGCGTAAACAGGCCGGACACAGGGTCCTGGGGGAGGTTAGTAGAGCTACGTGCGACTACCGGACCGGAAAAGGGGTTAGCATGCGCTACAGCGGCCGGGTCAGCATGCGCTACAGCGGCTGGGGCAGCAAGCGCTGTGAGGCAGCGTGGTCGCAAAACAAATAGGCGGGCGCGCCAAAGTCGAGCGTAAAGGAGAGCAAACCAGTAGCGTCAGCCGGCGGAGGGGCTAACGTACAGTAGAGCCTAGGCTAAGCAAGGTAGAGGGTCCTACGCCTGACACAGCAGGGGAGCCTAGACTACAAAGAGAGGACACACCTACGCTAGGCAACACCTGGCATTAGGGTCCAATCACACTAGAGCCATAAGCATACATGACAGCCATAGCATTTCTAATCTGATCCATGTCAAGCTCAAAGACAGGCACACGGCGTCAGGCCAGGGCGTACAAGTCAAGAGGGTCCGACGTGGGACTGAAGCAGTGGCGGAAAAGGTCGTCTAGGCAGCAGTAGCAATGGGCGGCGGTGTGACCGGGACGGTCGCAGACGGTGCGGCGGCGGGGGCCGGTCTGAAGCTGGTATTGGCAGGTGACCGCACTGGAGCCGCCACCCGACACCGAGCCGCGCCCGCCACCACCCCGACCACCGCTAGCAGCGCCGCCAGTCCACCACGGCGGCTGGGATCCCCACGGCGTCTGGTGCTACTGCGACTGCTGCTGCTACTGCTGCTCAGTCTGCTGCTGCTGCTGCTGAGGCTGCGTCTGCTGCTGCTGCTGCTTTGGGGCACTAGCCTCTGTCCCCTCGTCCGAACCACCAGCCCCACCCCCACCTCCTCCACCTTCCCCACCCCTACCCCCCTTCCCTCCTCCACGCCCCCCCTTGGGGCAGCAGCCCTTACCTGGACGCGGCTGCGCTGAGGCAGCACCTGCGGTCTCGGCAACAGCAGCACAGATGTCTGAGAAGCAGAACAGCCATTAAAGATAGGGACTGGCACAGTACCGCTAGACTGAGCAATAGTGCACTGGCAGGTCTCTATCGTAGACAAGGCTGTGACAAAGGCGGGGAGGGTGAGGTCACCCGGGTGTTGACTAAGGAAGTGGTTGCGGGCTGTAGCTAGGCGGTCGGGGAGGCGCGTGACAATGGGATAAAGGGTAGCGCATAGCGGTGGCGGAAAGGCAATGAGCTGAGCCTCAGTACTAGCAGCGCGGTAGCTAGTCTCTAATGCGCGGAGGTGAGTGGCAAAATCGGCGACAGTGGGGAAGGACGCAAGATCAGGAAACAGCATGGGGAGGATAAGTGTCACAGGATCGAATGTCTCGAGGAAAGGTTTGCTCAATGTTGCCTATCAATCAGTACAAGGTGCTTTTATACTTCCAGAGTACATCACGTAACCAGGTTTATCCTATCCAAAGGAAATAGACCCTTCTAGAAATAGAATCACCCTGCGTATAGCCACGCGAGGCTATTGGATTTAAGGGATTACGACAGGATTACGCTAGATATAGCGCGCCAGTACATCCCGAGCCTGGTCGGTGATATAATTATAATAACAGGATAAACCAAATGATAATGGCAAAGGAGGAATAGGAAACCAAATGAGATGAGATAAAGACCAAATGAATGAGGATAAAAAGAGGAATGAAATAGAAAGGAAATATGGAAAGGGGAAAATAGTGTAACGGGGTCGTACTCTCACACTTCCCCCCCTCAAAGCTGGGTGGTAGAAGTAACACCCTGCTTGACAAGGTTGTCGCGAAGAGGACGACGGGCGTTACCCATGTCGAGTTCAGAGACGCAGCATCAAAAGGATCAAAATCCTTCCAGCAAAGAAGAAGCTCCAGAGTGCCATTCTGACGACGACGGTGTCCAAGTACGTAGTTGTCTCATGTCGTGGATGAACACGGGCGACGACAGTGGTTGGCATTCGGTATAGAGCGTGTTTGGTCTTGATAGGGTTTAAGAAGCTGGTATGGAAGGTGTTATGGATCTTCCAAGTGGCTGGTAGGCGGAAGCGGAAGGTGAATGAAGTGACAGTTGCTTCAAAGCCCCTTTGAAGCGAGGTCGCAGTTTGGATGGAAGATGACCGATATCAAGATTGCGCGTGTCGAGCAGTACTCGGTCTCCCATGGTGATGGTGTGGTCAGGTGGCGTCCGTAACAGAGGAAGTACAGTGTCTGTCCAGTAGCGGCGTCAGGAGCATACTTGTAGGCAAACTCTAGGACGGGCAGATGCAAGTCGGAGTTGGAGATGTGAATGGTTGGAACAGTGTGCAGTAACGTGCAGATGAGTGGCTATGTTGTCCGAGCTGTGCATGTTGTTACCCGCATCTGGTCCATGTATGAAGATCACCAAGTGTTTGTGGTATGGCAGTTATGTCATAGTACTGCTTCTGTCGAGCTGGTCCATGCCTTAGTGTTGTCGCGAGTCGTACCCACTCGGCATCGTAGTGCTGCAGAATGGAGAGCAGAATCACTTGTAGTAACCCTATCCACCACGCGATCTGCTAGTCAGACTGCCTGGAGTACAACAACGCATGCGAAGTGCTGGTCAGCGTATCCCTTGTGTTCAGAACCATGCGAGGGGTTGGTACCACAAACGCGGAGCTGGTAACTTCCAGAATCGGCGCCAAAGTAGTTTCCCTCGGTGGTTGCTCAAGCAAGGAATCTCAGCTGTATAGATATCCCACGGTGATGGGTTAGGATACTTGGGAATATTAGGGCTATTCCAAAATAATCCTCTCCCATTTCCAAATGAGCATTGGTGACAGCCAATCCAGTATGACCTTATGCACTTCCAGTTTAGCACGGAGGCCATCGGTAGGCATCGGTGTCTGGGCGCACATATTGGGATAGGTCTTCTGGTGCCATCATGTGTTGTCTCATTCTGTCACTGTCCTTGAAGTAGCGTTGATGTAGAAGATGTCTCAGCTACCCAGCATCAGTGTTGAAGTCTGCTCCATTTCGGCAAACAGGGGTGTTGTTGGAGATACGCGGAGTCCACTATCCAGAGTGGCGTCGGCGCTCCATTCCACGCCTATCTGTTTCCGTGGAGTTGGTACTGGTGATGGATTGGTTGCGACGCAGGTTTTATGACTTTAAGGAAAGCCATAGGCCATGAGAACTTGTATTCCGGTAGAGTACCGTGGTCCTCCCATCCTCATAAGAGCAAATATCTTCTGCTCTTGAGGGTATATGGCATTGCCATGATGTTCCCTCGCATAGTGGTATCTCCTTCCCACTAGCTGGAAATCAATGCTGTGCCTGGCCGGGACTTTACGATAATACTGGAATATAATCTTGCATTATCTCCATTGAGTGGAGAATCATCCATCAGGATTTGGTTGTGACTATTGTGTCGAGTCTTCTGCTGCGGCGGCGGCGGCGGTTGCGACGATGGCGACGGCGGCAGCTGCTGCAGAGAATTCTCTCAACTCGTATCGGTTGAAGGAGAATCCATCAACTCCCTCTTCCCTGTAGAGTGTTCCTGATGGGTGTAACAGGCGTAACTACCAAGAACACGTGCACATTGGTACACATGTGTTGCTCCATTGGTGCCGGTGATTGTTTCATTTGAGGGTATGAAGAGAAATTTGCTTCTCCCCTCAATGTATCCACGGGTAGCAATTCCTGGTATGCTCATCCGTGCCTCCGATGTACGGTCGGTAGAGCGCGTGATCGTGTTGTAGTAGTCCGCATCTCCCTCATTTGTTGACACCTCGTGTTGCTTGACGTTCTCCTGCACCGTCGAAGTTACGCTGATGCTTGTAACGCTTCGGCTTGTGGTAGAATCGCCTCCAATGCATGTGCCGTAGGGTCGCTAGCGAACGAGTACTTGCCGGATTAGAGGTTAATTACTCCTTAATCTGTCAAGCATCGTGACGTGCACGGAATTTTCTTCCACGCAGGTCATTAACACCTGGAATCGCGACGCATGATTTGTGTGTTGCCTCGTGAGGTTGATGTTGAGACTGCTCCAATCAATCACTTCGGATGGCTGAGATTCTTGATGAAGACGAATCGTTCAGCTCCTGTTACGAAGTAGTGTCTCGCTGGCCTTGACGAGACGGGTTCACTGCGTCGTCGTTGCGTGCGAAATCTGCTCATTCGCAGCAACTTGAACTTGGGAGCATTGCAAGAGAAAACGGCTACTTCTCTGCAATCCCATAGGTTGTCGATCAATTTGTATGAAGAAGTGTCTCGTGGATGGAGAACATGTCTTCACGCAGCTCCATTGTTTTTCCTGGATGAAGATTCCGTCGTGTTGATGTCGATCCATTTTTAACGAAGATGACTTCGTCAAAATAAATCGATCGTTATCGACACTAGTTAGAAGATGCGTCGATTGTGCAGTCGCTGGTCACGAATGTTGTCTCCATGATGATGATTTTCCATAAGTGTAGTCTCTACTGCATTCGTGCCGTTGATTTCGCAACGACCCGACGATCCACGTTCTCCCGTTTTTTTTCTGCATGCAGATATTACCAAGTATGTAATACTCTGGCAGATTTCTGACTCTGCAGATGATTTGCGCACCATATTCGTCACCAAATAGAGGAGTCCGAATTTGGTTGTCCAAATGTTGTCAACGATGTTGAAGGCGGCCAATTTCTGGTTCTGCGCGTCATTCTCCTTTTGTGCAGAAATAGCGCTCCATCTCGTCCGTTGAAGTAGACGTTGATCCGACGGTCCAAACTCCAAGCGATCTGAAGATATTCCTGAGACGCGCTCAGCAGCTTTCGGTGCACGGGTCAACTCGTTTCCTGTAGCAATTTTCGGTCGTCGATGTTGGCTGTCGAACGATCGGACGCTCCGAAAAACTTCGCGGCTTGCGAGGTCCCGTTCCCATTCGCTCTGAAACTCGAACTCTCTCAGCAGGATTTCGTTTTCGTCTCGGTCGATCTGAAGCGTCGAATCTCCATCGGACGGATGTCGTCGGTCGAAGCTCCGCAGAGTTCCGCACAACTCCAAGTGTTGTCGCGAACTGCGAACTTCTCCGAATGTCGCAGGGAGTGTTCCGTCGGAACTGACGCGCTCGCCAGGTCGAGGCCGTTTGCCCCCGCGAAAAATCGGCACCGTTGATGCAGTCCATCGAACGGTTGGCGAGGCATCTCGCCTTCGAAGGGGACCCCGGGTGCAACTGCGAGAGGTAAGACGAAACTTAAATGAAAGTGCATTGTACTTACAGGAATTGAAGTTTCGACTCCATCCTCCGCGTGCTCCTGGGGGCCCAGCGGTTAAGCGTTGAGCTGAAACCTTGGCTCTGATAACCAAGTGTCACAGGATCGAATGTCTCGAGGAAAGGTTTGCTCAATGTTGCACTATCAATCAGTACAAGGTGCTTTTATACTTCCAGAGTACATCACGTAACCAGGTTTATCCTATCCAAAGGAAAT